TGTGCCTATTGGCCATATATCTTCTTTGGAGAAGTGTCTGTTCATTTCCTCTGCCCATTTTTTGATTGGGTTTTTTTTGTTGTTCAGTTTCGTGAGTTCTTTTTTTTTTTAAAGATTTTATTTATTTATTTCCCCCCCCCAAAGCCCCAGTAGATAGTTGTATGTCATAGCCGCACATCCTTCCAGTTGCTGTATGTGGGACACGGCCTCAGCATAGCCAGAGAAGCGCTGCATCAGTGCGCGCCCGGGATCTGAACCCGGGCCGCCAGCAGCGGAGCGCACGCACTTAACCGCTAAGCCACGGGGCGGCCCTCGTGAGTTCTTTATATATTATGGAGATCAACCCCTTTTCAGATGTATGTTTTGCAAATATTCTCTCCCAGCTGGTGGGATTGTCTGTTCATCTCGATTCTAGTTTCATTTGTCTTGTAGAAGCTCTTTAATCCGATAAAGTCCCACTTGTTTATTTTTTCTTTAGTTTCCCTAGTCTGGGTAGGCATGTCATCCGAAAATATTCCCTTATGACCAATAGGAAACAATTGACTTTTGTATATTAACCTTTTATCCTTCAACCTTCCTCTACTCTTGTATTAGTTCAAGGGGTTTTCATTGTTATTGGAAATTCTTTCAGATTTTCTCCATAGATAACCTTGTCATATGCCACAAAGACATTTTTATCTCGTTTCCCAATCTGTATATCTCTTATTTTTGTGTGTGTCTAATTGCATTAGCTAATTCCAGTACAGGGTTGACTAGGAGTGGTGCGAGGGGACACTGTTGCCTTCCTCCTGATCTTACCAGAAGCATCTAGCTTTTTCAGTGTAGTCCATTAATATTAAACAAGAGCCCAGGTGATGTAGAGGTAGGTGTGGGCTGAGAAGCAGCGTTCTCTAACCCAGTGATTTGGTCTCAATCCTTTAGTGAGCCTGTGTCCCTGGACTTAACCTCCTGTGACATAATAAGAAAGATACTTGATCTTTGCCCTCAGTTCCTAGCAAAAATCTCTTGAAGCCCTTGCAATTACTTGAGTGTTAAGGTGATAGTGTCTTTTGTTTGAATGAGGCAATTCTTGGCCAGTTCCTAGATGACCTCAAGATGGATGGAGTTGGACACCAGAAACACCAAGCCTCGATTAGAGGCTTGGAACTTATAGACCCAGCTCCCAGCCTGTGTGTGGAGAGGAGAGGGGCTGGAGACTGGGTTAATCACCAATGGCCAACGATTGAATAAACTGTGCCCATGTAATGAAACCTCCCTTAGAACCCCAAAGACAATTTAGAGAGTTTCTAGGTTAGTGAACACAGCCATGTGCTGCAAGGGTGGAGTGTCCAGAGAGGATGTGGAATCTCTGCAGCCCCCTCCACCTCCACTCCCCTCATCCATATCACTGCCCTACATTGCCCTTTGCATCTCTAACTTCTGCCTGCTCCGGAGTTGTACCCTTATGTAAACCACTAATAGTAAACAAAGTGCTTTGCAAGGTTCTCAGAATTGTCTTTACATTACGAAACCTGACAGGGTATCAATGGAATGTACTTTTGGTAGAAGAATGCCTTGGGCAACTTATGTCCACTGTGAGTTTAGGGACTCTTGGATGCATAACGGGAGCCTGCTAAAGCCTTTATGGCAAAAGGGTGAGTGAAGGGAGATGCTAATGGAGGGGCAGCTATTTCAAAGTTTTCTAGAGCCCTTTGTTTCCCAATTCAAAGTCAGTCAATTTCTAAGTGTTGTATGAAAAAGTAAGCAAGCAGATCCGATAAATATGGGATGTTTGTGGTTGCTGTGGCTGACAGCTGACAGAATGTGCGCGTGACATGGGTTCTACCACGGCTTCTGGGCCCCTCTCAGCTCACAGGCCCCTCCTGTTGGCTCAGGGAAATGTTCCAGAGGGGGACACGTGTGGATTTCTAAAGATGTTTCCAAGTAAGCAGGCACAGGGTAGGCTTGATGTGGGAAATGAACAGCTGGAAATGGTCTATGGATGGCAGTGAAAAGAAATGATGCTGATGCACATGACTGAGGATGTCCCGGGGCAGAACCCACTTGGGATACACTTTAATGATTTAGGACCACAGTATTTCTAAAGATCTGTCCACACAACCTGATTTATAATTTTATTTATTTATTTATTTTGCCCCAAAGCCCCAGTAGATAGTTGTATGTCGCAGCTGCACGTCCTTCTAGTTGCTGTATGTGGGACGTGGTCTCAGCATGGCCGGAGAAGTGGTGCGCTGGTGTGCACCCAGGATCCGAACCTGGGCCGCCAGTACTGGAGCGCGTGCACTTAACCACTAAGCCACGGGGCTGGCCCCTGGAATTTTTTACAAATTAACTTTAGCTCCACTACGTAGTTTCCCCCTTCTAGAAAATAATGATTATGTTTACCAAAGATAAAGTGATAAACTTAATAGAATCAAGTTTACCTCTTCACAACATTCAATACAGAAAATGACCTGCTTACTTGAATAGCAGTCAAATCAACAATCACATGCCAAAATATTGTAAGAAGTGCTTCTGAGCACCCTGTCACTGTTATACCTCACAGTCCTTTATGGTCTGTGGTCAATCTTGTTAGAATTCATTACACCTCTCTCTTTGATTACAGGTGCAATCCTGCAGGTCACTGGAAAAGGCACTGAAAAAACCATGATTTTTTAGTTTTGGGTTAAGTATAAATGAGAAGTTAGATTCATGACAAAAATTACAAGTATAAAAGAATAAAAAATAAAGTTTCCCTGAGGAAAGAATACCTGAATTTGTATGTACATGACAAAATTTACACATAATATATGATGATAAAATGAAAATTGCAAAGTATATCTGAAAATCCATAATTAAAAGGAATTTTAATATATTCTGAGGAAATAAAACCAGTTGATAAAATATATAAATGAAACAACTACAGAAGTGTTCATTTCTCAAGGAAATGTACTAGTTTAAATGATATACAATCAGACATTATTGAAAATATATTAAGGGAATATGTTCAGATACAAGTAACAGGAAACTCACACAGTCTTCATAACATGAGAAAGGTGATTGTTCTCACGTGGAAGAACTGGGTGAAGGCAGCCACTGCACAATGCAGCAGAGAAACAAACTTCCAGTTCCTTCTTCTTATTGCACATTGTAGACATCATGGTGAATCAGGAAAACACGTTCACTAGCACTATTAACAGCATAAGGTGTTTCCTATGCACATTAGACCTTATACAGCTGTCACCGAGAGAATACTCCTAACCACAAGTCTGACTTAGTTTCCTGGTGGACACAAGAGGCCTTACAGAAAAATCCTAACTCTAATGGATCTTTGATGTGAAACTTGTGAAAACATCAGTGGAAAATACACCTGTAAGAAAATGTAAATCAAACAGTGGGTGGTGCTTTTCAAGATACTGTTGACTAGAAAGGCAAAGAGTCCAGAAAATGGGATGGAAGATGGTTTCGCTGAAGCTCCTACGTAACTGTCTCTCTCCCTGTATGGTGGCTCCAAAATCTGACTAATGCCTTGTTTGCTTCTGTCTTTCAAATCTCATGCAAGAGAGGCTACTGGTGAATTCCATCATGGAACCATAAAGGGGATGGATTTTTAAAGATCTAGTTCTTATTATTACCCTCACTGATATAACACAATACAGGGGTGATGTCTCCAGCTCTAGATTTTCTTGCCCTATCACAGGCCTCTACTTAATTCAAAGTCTATTCACCAAATACCAGTCAGAAGGAAGGACAAAGAACAAAAGCCCAAATATAAAAATAAGAATTCACAATAAAGTATACTCTTTGATAATCTTGCCATACATAACAATTTATTCCAACTGTTTAATAGTGTGGAAAATAAAAACAGGCTCCTATACCCACCACCCCACAACAGGAGCTTTCTCTAATAAAGGTACAAAATGCACAATGGATTAGGCATATCCGGGAACTGCAATTCAAGGCTATTAAAAAAAACCCATGGACTACAAACCATCATTTTTCAATGGGCCCCTAACACAGAACAATTAAAATATTTTAAAAGAAGTAAAGAGAAAATATTATTAACTGATTTAAGAAAAAAGCACCACCTATTAATCTTTATGTAGTACTAATGAAGGACGACTCACAGAATTATCTCACCTCAGTATACATTTCTGAAAGTTATTAATAGAAATCCACAATTCAATGTTGGACTTTGGGAAAGAGGCTTGGTAAACACAATATGTTTACAACTTTTATAACAAATCTTTCATGTTGAAAGTTTTCTACAACATTATATGCACATTAATTTCCATCAAGCTTTCTCTTATGACTTACATTT